TATATAAAGTTTTAAATGGAAATATATTTTATATTGATAAATTTTTTAATTAGAATATACTTTTTTTCTTGTAATAATAAACATATGTAATTTAATTAAATTGTTAATTTTATATACGCTGTTACATAATATATAACTTTTTATATTTAAATATTATTAATTTATTTATAAATATAATACAAATTGCATAAAAATATTGACAAGCGAAATTATAAAAATTATTAATTAATTTATTTTCATAATTTGTTAATTAATGTTTTTAATGTATAATTGCAAGTTTTTACGCATGATTTATATAAATTTATAATTATACATAATATATTTACTTTTTGTTTTGTTTTGCTAAATTTAATCAAAATAATTACAAATTTTTAAATTTTTTGATTTTAAAATCAATTAGATTTAAAAAATAAAAAATAAAATAAAACTTGCTACATTTTAATTTTAAATAAAAATAGTTTCTGTTTTAAAAATGTGATGAAATTATTTACACTTAAAAGTCATATAAAATTATTTTATGTTATTTATATTAATAAGTTTTATTTTATTTTTAAAATATAATTTTTTTTTTGTTCTTTAACATGAACTCATACACATTTATTGTTTTAATTTTTTAATTTTATTGATTTTCTTTCTTCTTTTCTTTTTCTACTTATTGAACAAATTTAAACTTTTTTCTTTTTAAGTTTTATTTTTCTAAATGTTTTTTTTTTCTTCGATTATGTCTTACATTTTCATTTTAAATTAAATTATGGAATAATTTTATTGCTTGCATATAATTTCTTTTATTTTCATACATTTCTATTTTTAATTTTGTTGTTTCTTTTTTCCTTCTTAAAATTAATTTCAACACTACAATTTCTAGAAGACTTTCTTCTGAAGTATAAACTTTCTTACGTATTTTACCACAAACATTTTGAATGTAACTCCATTAGTTTAAGAAAAATAAAATTGAGTATAAAAATTAATTAAGTTAATATCATAAAATTTGTATTTATTTTTGTATTTGTATTTTTATTTTTATTATAATGTAGTAATTCAGAGCAATCTAAGGTATCAAGATAGAACTTGAGGTTAAGGATTTCTCTTAATAATTGTTTTCTAATATTTAACTATAATGCAATCTTTCAATACTGCTACCATTGGTTTTTATATCCAATGCTCATATAAAATATGTAAATAAACAAAAATATATGTATATCCCTCAACAAAAAAAAAATAATTTTTTTATTTAACAATTTTATAACAAATGTATATATATATATCAAACAGTCGAACTTTCATAACTCGAAGTATGGAGACTTCGAATTAAATTGTATGTACAGTAATCCCTCAATAACGCGGTACCCTTACAACGCATTTTCATATTACGCGATTTCAAACCCTGTATAACACGAGCATTTCCCCATATAACGCGGGGATTTGTAAAGTTCATAATTAGCTTCGCGGACACGTATACGGTGGGTATACGGGAATATCCCTATAAAGCGGAATCAATCTACCGCGTTATAGGAGGGATTACTGTAGTTACTCAAAACTCTGTTTGTCTATATATAAACATATATTGGTGGTTGGTAATAATGTCGAAAACAGTTAAAAGGTGTTATAGCGTCATAATGATTATTGCTTTAGATATAATATAAATTATTAAACAAATGTAATAAATTTCTCAGTATAAATGATGTAATACAAAATTTTGTAATATTTATTGCTCTAAATTAAATATTTGGGTTTTTAATTATTAAAAATAAAATTACAATTAATTAAATATAAAAGTAATTAGCTTTGTTTTTTTTTACAATACATTGCTTAATATAAAAATGACACACAATAAAATTAATTTGATTACAATTTATTGAACATAACAAGTTTAACGAACTCCGTATATTGACAAAAACAATTATTAAAAAAAATTAAACATTTTTATTTTGGTTTACATAGTAGTCAATTAAAAACTCATTAAAATAGAAAAAAATATATTTATATAAAAAGAACATTCAATAAACAAAAAATATGAAACAAAAAAATATTAAAAATATCAAAAACATAAACAATTTCAAAAGTTTTACTTGAAGAAACAAATTAATAAGCAAATTGCAAGGAAGAAGAAGGAGAAGAACTAAAGAGTCCTTCTGGAATTTTAATAGTAATGACAATAAAAATTGTTGCTATGAACTGCTCTTAAGGATGATAATTAAATTAAAATTAAATTGCTTTTCTCTCACGAAAGGATAAAGTTTTTGCCATTGTCGTATTGTGAGTTGTAAAATTGTTTAATTGTTAATAGCAAAAAAAAAAAGAGAAACAAAATAAATTGCTATATAAAGGACAAACTTAAAAGAAATCCTTTCAATATAAAATAATTGTGCCTTGCAGTTGTTTTTCTTCGTAGCGCTAGTAGAGTTAAGTTAAAGTTGCAAGAAGCGGAGTTGTTAGTTGTTGCGAATGAAGCAGTGTTGCAGCAAGTATCCTAGATTGCAATTGAGCCTAGATTACAAAAGTTGCCAAAGGATTATTTCTTCTATCGCAAAATTCAATTCTCTGTTAAAATTTGTGCTTCTAGTTGTTTTTTTTTTACGTTTACTTGTTGTTGTTGTATTTTTCGTTTTGTTGTTGTTGTTAGTTTATTAAATTTGTAGTTGTTGAAACCCCAAATTTTCATAATTGAAAATTCGCAAAAATTCTTTTTTTTTCAATATTTTATATTTGAATTGTTAATTTAGTTGTTGTTGTTGAAGTAGAAATTTTGATGCTATATTTAGCTGAGTTTTACTTTCATAATTAAATTTTTTATCAAATTTAAATTTGTAATTGTTTTTTTTTTTTTGTTAAATTTTTTATTTTACGATTTTTTTTTAAATTTATGTAATAAATTTTATGCTGTTTTTTTTTTAAATTTTTCTTAAAATATTTTTCATAACTTTTTGTTGCAAAATATTATTATTTTTTTTGGAAATTTTTTGCCATTGTATTTGTCATGGCCTATGGAACCTGTAACGAAAAAAAAATAAAATAGAATTAGTTTCGGTTTTTTTAAACAATTTTTGAAAATATCTAATAAATTCAGTCAAAAATATATGTGCGAATATTCAAAAAATAATATAATATATTACACTATATTATAAAACTAAGTTAGCGTTCCTCCTCTTCCTTTACCGATATTAATTTATTATTTATTGCATATTTATAGGAGCAAATATTAATTCTTGCAGATGTGTAAGTTGTTTACATTATAAGGGTATTCAAGATATGTTGCTTTTAACATTTTGACAATGAAATGATTATGATTTTTCTGATACACCCATTTGATAACAGTTTATAGTGGAATCAGTTATTTTAAGCAACTTTTTCTACTACACTCTATGGCTGTACAATTTATTTTTAGAGATATCAGTATTTAGAATTGTAAACTTTTTACATTAAGTACTTTATTAAAACCTACAAATGCCATCGAACACTAATGAATATATGTAATATTAATATTGATTACATAAAGAACTAATAACACCAGTAGACGCAAAGATTTCTGATAACGGTCGATAATATCTCGAAAATTAAGTCATATTGACGGTGGAAAAAATTGGAAAAGTTTACTTTATAAAAATCTGTTGTCAGATGGTCGTATCTCGAATTCGATTGGTGCAATAAAAAGTTGAAGAGAAAGGCGCTGCACTTTAAAGTACAATTAAACGACTGCTAAACCATATAAGCGTTTTTGCTTTCCTCTTTTATTAAATATTGAAAAGTGTAATACTTTTTTTTCAGTCAAAAACCATTGATCATTACATTATTATTTTAAAAGAATTTAAGAAATTTATATCAAATAAGTTTTTAAAAATTACGATAGTTTTTATAAAATTTTTTACCCAATTCTTTTTAGTAATGCTGATTGCAAGAATATATGCGTATATGCATAGAGTAACACATCTAAAATACTTTTAATGAAAATACAATAAATAAGTTTTTATTTGCAAAATTCAATATATAAATATGATAGGATAAAAAAAAATTAAAATCTTAATAAATTTATATCAAAATTCTTAGGAGGAGGAGGAGGACGAGATAAATTTTTATATATGATTACAAACTAAATGAATTTTATATAAAATTGTTTTCAAGAATTATTTTAACAATCTGTTGGCTAAGAGTAAAAGTTTCTAATCGATAAGTCATCAAGTGGTTTGAAAAAATTTCCAACAGAAAAAAACAGACTGTTGTGAGTAGAAAAAAAAAATAAATAAAAAAAAAGTTCAAAATTTACAGTCAATTTAAAAACTCATTCGATTTGGCGTTTTTGTTTGCATTCAACTGCGAGGGAGCGTTTTTGCAAATAAATGAACTGAATGCAGTTCAAATCAATTTGCTTTCGAATCGTTTTTATGATTTTTCTATTGCAGCATAATAGTTTGCTTAAGTGGCTGCACATTTTTTAGTTTGCTTACTTAAAAGAATATTTATCGTATATATCTGGTATATCTGGTAAATATATATAAGAAAAATTTGTTTTTATTTTAAACATTTTATAACTCGTCGATAGTAGTTTGATGAGGTATCGATTACGTAGAATATGGACAAGACGCAAAGTTCTTCAAGTATTTAAATATAAAGACAAATTAAAAATTAATTAAATGAAAGTGAAGTACGTTAGTATGAAATTTTAATTCACTTAACAAATTAAAACAAATTGGGAGTATTAACAACAAAATATCAATACACTGACTGAAACCAAACGCAGGATTTGTAGTTACAGATTCAAGATCTCCGAATTTCGAGATTGAGACGAGGAATGTCAACTGACTAAATGTTGTCACGTATTGACGGTCAAACCTATTGTGAAAAAAAAACATCCCTGATTTAAGTGTCAATCAAATTAATTGCCAAAATGATTGTCTTTTTATAAATAATGATTAATTCATGTAGTAAGGTATATGGGATTAGCTTTTTCCTGCAGAAATATATTTACTTTGTTTTTTTGGCTGATGAATACACAAAATTCAGAATATTATTTTCCATTTTTCTATGCCTTGTTCCATATTTGTAGCCAATTAGCATCTAGTTGTGAAAATACGGCTGAACAATACAGATAGAAATTTCTGTGCTTATGTATTGAGTTTTTATTAATAAATGCTATTTTGGACTAAATAAGGCATTGGAAAATAAGATCACTCCCAACAAATAAATACAATTTTTTATTATTCCTATTTCACTGTATACTACAAAAGCTTTGACAATATCCAGCAATGAAAAGAAGATATTATAAGAATTCCAGTGAAAAAATCTTTAAAATATTTATCGTTATGACTATTATAACGATATCGGGCTGTTAAGCTGTATAAGTTATATATTGATATTGACATTGTTAAGTATATTAAAAGTCGGCAACTTCGTTGGCTTGTCTGCTTATCCAACAGCGATAAGAAAGCATTCGAGTAAAATATTATTTGAAATATATATGGTCCCATATGCATTCATAACGTTATTGAATGATGAGATATCTGAGCTATTGATATGATATTCACATAGTTCAGCGTATTGAAATTTGGCAGCTTCGTTGGCTTTTCTGCTTATCCAAGAGCGATAAGCAGGCATTAAAGCATTCGAGAATTCAGCATGGTTCATGTTTCATTTATAATGATATTGAATGACGACATAGTAAAGCTTGTTAAAATTCTGCTTATCCAACAGCGATAGGAAAGCATTATAAGCATACGAGAAAAAAATTCTTTAAAATATATATGGTTGTGCATGCATTCACAACGATATTGAGTGATGAGATATATGAAGTATCACGTGGCATTGACATAGTAAAGCTTGTTAAAATTCCCCAGCATCGTTGGTTTGTTTATCTGTGCAACAGTGAAAAGAAGGCATTATAAGCAATCGAAAAAAGTGTTTTAAAGGTATATATATATGGTCCCGTATATATTCTTACCCACTTTGGATTAGATGGAACTATACTAACATTGTACAGAAAATTATTTGATTCGGCACCCGCTTGTGGAAAACGCGATAAAGAGCATTTGCATCTTCAATGAAAGCACTAGATAAGAAATGGGTTGAAAACATTGGATAGTACCAAATTATAATAGCAAGTTAGTGATCAGATTGGCTATTAGATGCCACAAACGACGACACCTGTCTGTTCAGGCCAATAAAGATCTTCAAGAAATAAAGCAGTTCAACTAAGGATTGCACATAGGAATTAACAACAACAAACCGGGTTTATAGCTTTAGTTGTAATCTTGAATAAACCATATATCTTAGGAACATTTTTTTTAAGTGCATAATTTTAAATTGATGTTAATTATGAAGTGTTGTCCTTTAGGGCATTGGCTTCACCGTGAGAAACACTAAATGAGAGCAGCGTTGGAGAATATGTATTCAGTTCAGAAATGATTAATAAAAATAAATTGTTGCCTACCATTTTTATTGGATCAACTAATTAACATTTCTACGATAAAACTATTGTACGGCACCTGTCCAAATTGCTTAAATACCACAAAGGTTGCAATAATAAAAACCGAAGTAACAAATTTCGTTAAAAATATAACAAAAAATAAAAAAATATGGCAGTAAAAGGACCACAACATTTTAAACATTTTGAAAAAAATAAAATAAATTCTTATTAGTTTTTCCAGTGCGGCACTTTTGTGGGAGCTTTTAATACCGCAGCACGTTGAGTTACGCCAGAATCGTGCATCGCACAGAGCATCCTTAGCGAGACGAAGTGTCGGTTGGGGTATCCATGGCTTGCATTTATGCCGTGCCCGCGGTAGTGTCAAGGCTTTATTTAGCATCGCCATTTTCTAAAATTTTTCTTTTTCATTTTCATTTTCTTTTATTTTTATTTTCATTTAATTTTTTGTTTTCTGTTAGTGGCATTAAACTCACTCAGAGAAGCATAAAATGGGAATAAAAAAAGCTCAATGGCGCTCGGTTTATGTATGTCTGTGACACGCCCAATGGTGGCATTCAGCATAATTTATAGCGTATGACTGTTAAGGATGGTGCTGCTCCACTGTGAGATGTGATGTGACGTGTAGTGCTGGCTGCGCTGCGCTGTGCTGTGCTTTGCCGTGTGGCGATGTACTGTGGTCTTTCAAATGATTTTTTAATTATGCCAATTGACACGTCATTAAAATTTATTGCATAAACGATGTTTAACGTTGGTGACTCAGCGTTGACGTTGATTTTATTATGCAACATTCTTGGCCGCAGTTACATTTGCTCAGGTTAAGTACGTTTTTTCCCCTTTTCCCCATATAATTCAATTATCTTTATTTGCTTATGGTCATGGTCCAGTGTTACATTCACTTTTAATTTATTTAAATTTGTTTTTTAAATACTGACTAGTGGACAAAGTTGAGAGTTGGCTTAAGGACCGCGTTGGTTATACGAGTACATCCGCAATATGTTGCAGTCATATTATTGTGGATGCTTTATAAAAAATTAAGTTAAAGAGAAAGTGCAGACATATTTCACTATTTAAAGACGGATGCGTCATGAGAATATTTAATACTGAATATTTCACAAGTTAAGGATGGGTGCTTCATGAAAAGAATTTATTAATATATATTTTTATAGATTTTGTATTTGAGAAGAATGGACATACCATTTGAAATTTTATTCTAGGAGAATAGGAAGATATCTGTATTTTACACAATTTAAGAAGAGAGAGAGGGAGAGAGGGAAAGAGAGAAAGAAAAATGGAAAGAGCGAATGAGAGAGAGGAAGAGAGAGGGAGAGACGCAGAGAGAAAGAGTGGGAGAGAGAGATGGAGAGAGGGAAAGAGAGAGGAAGAGAGAGAGAATAACAACTTAAATTTTTGATAAATTGTTTATAGAAAAGGAGTGTCTATTTTACAGAAGTATCTATTAAAAAAGTTTAATCTTATTAAATATGATCCTTAAAAATTAAGACAATATTATTGGCTTTGAATTGTATTTGATTAATTTTTATAGATTAGTTATGATCGCTTACTCTTATAATTCGATTACACTGAATTGATTTTTGATAATTAGTTATGGTGGATTAATTGGATGGGTTAAAAATTTGTGGATGGATGGGTGTACAAAACAACAGGCCGTGAGCGTAATCAAAATAAGAAATAAGGGACAGAGTATAGAGAGCAAAGTATAAAAAATATAGTATAAAGAAAGTATAGAAAGTCTTAGCTAAAAGACTACTTATCTCAGTTTTTATAATTAAAATTAAATTAATAAATGACAGAATAATCACTTTTTAATATTATTTTAACAATTATATTATTAATATGGATAAAATTTTTTGGTGCTTTTATTAAATTTTTCCTGTGATTGAATTGTTTCCTTTCTGATAGACAAGAAAAGGATATAACAATAATTTGTGCATATATTTTTTGAATCATCTATCTAACCGCCACAAAAATGATCAAGAATTTTAATCCTAAAAATACGAAAGTGTTTTGAAATTGATTTAAGTTAGGAAATATTTCTCTAAGTGTACCTGAGCACATTCTGTAGGAAAGCGGCAGCATTTTCTTTTTCGGTTAAAAAATATTAAACACTGGCTTAATACTCACAGTTATAGTTTTTTACATTTTGAATTATTTAAAATGATTTTTAACGTCCATTTTGATGTAACTAAATCTATATATATAAAAGAAAGTTGTGTTAGTTACACCACTTATAACTCAAGAACGGCTGAACCGATTTAGCTGAAAATTGGCAGGGAGGTAGTTTAAGGCCAGGAGAAGGACATAGGATACTTTTTATACCGTTCGACAGCATTCCCGTGTGACTTGACATGAAACGTCAGTGGTGAGAAACGACAAAGTAGGTTTTGAAATTATCAAATTTTTGATATAAGAAAATATTTTATTAAAATTTAACAGATAGAAATATAACTTAGTTAATGTGTTTTTAAAAGTTGTATTAGATCAATATAAGTTTGTGTTGCAATAAATATCGTTTTTAATCAATAAAACTACCTGGTTGTTGCAAACTCAACAAAATAAATAATTAACAATTATAATGTATGGTATGGTTGAAAATTTGAGTTTTTAGTTTTTTAATTGACATGAAACGTCAGTGGTGAGAAACGACAAAGTAGGTTTTCAAATTATCAAATTTTTGATATAAGAAAATATTTTATTAAAATTTAACAGATAGAAATATAACTTAATTAATGTGTTTTTAAAAGTTGTATTAGATCAATATAAGTTTGCCTTTAAGGCGGAACAGAGTTCGCCGGGTCATCTACTAGTTCTTAATATAAACTATTCTTCCCAATGGAGAGGTTGTTATAGAACAGTGTATAATTACAACAACAAAAAATTTTCCTGTTTATTATTCTTAATTAATATATTTCTAATATATATAGCTTTTAATTATTAATATTATATATCAAAAATATTTCAATAATAGAAAACCTATTTAACATTTCCTTTGACCGCAATTGAATTAAAAACTATTTTTTTTTAAATGGCAATTAAAGTTTGTATGAATATTGTCAGAAGCAGATTATTATGCTATATATGAACAAGGAAGTTGTCAGCGACATTAAAATTATTTAATTAAATTGAAGCTAAACTGAGTTGCAGATACAAAAAGAAATGACAAAATAATTTCAATTTAAATTTTCAGTGGCTTACACTTTATATGTTTGTGAAGTACTATTAAAAGCTATTAAAAACATTAAGAATATTATGGAGTTAATTAAAATTATTTTCAAAAAAATATTATATTTTATTAAGTTTTATTTTTAGAACATTTGAAATGTACATGAACTAAAACTATTTTATAATTAATCAGCAAACAAAATGGGGAAATGATTTTAAATTCTAAGTACTCTACAATAATATATATAATGTAAGAGGTCAGGTATAAAATAAGATCTTTTTAAAAGTCGGTATTTGTGGTGAAGCCAACTATTGGCAACTACATAGATTGATTGTAGTTGAAGTCATTTGGGCTTTTTGAAAAAATATATTTGCCAATAAAAAGAGCTGCTTAATAATTCACCCGATTTGGCAGAATGCGACTTTTATTTTTTCGGAAATGAAAGAGTTTTGTCAATGTAGAAAACAAATGGCTTTAATCGACATCATTAAAGATAACGAGTATAATCGAGTATAAGACAGTATAATCGTTATCGGAAGAGGATTGGAAAGATGATACGTCTTAGATAGACACATTTTTAAAATATTAAAGGTTTTATGACTGCAGTTTTCTTCAACATCCGATTTAATATATTAAATAACAAATTAATAAATAATATTAATATATAGTAATATTAATATATAATAATATTAATTAATAATCATTACTTATTCTATATTAATATTTAATTAATATTAAATTGTAATAATTGGAATTGTAAAAATATAAATTGTATAAAATTAAAGGATTAATATTAAAAATGTATTCGACTCCCAAATAATATTTTTTTGATTTTTGATACAAAAATAATTCATCTCACATCTGGGTCACTTTAATGTGAGTCATTTTGCATATATAAAATAAATTATAAAATAAATATCGAATTTTAATTGGTCAGTTAATAATTGTTAAACTTATTTACCTTGTTAAATGTCGACTGCCTTCGTGCACTGCCATTTCAGATGATTTGAATTCATTTAATTCCTTACGTATGGCAGCCTTATCCTTTGGCGTCAGTCTTGTCCATGGCTTATCCGCACGTCGATCATAATCGTGCGCCTGAGTTACTTCAATATAATCATTGAAGCGTATAATCTTCTTTTCTTTTAGCTCCTCGACAGTGGGTCGAAAACTGAGCTTACGTAGCAGATACGATTTTTTCTCCTCCTTTTGTTTTTTCTCTTCGGCGGGTGATTGTGCTACAAATTTTGAAAAAAAAAAAAAATATAATTATTATTTAAAAAGAATTTCTCAATATATTTTAACTTACTCTTTAAAATATTGCGTTCCACTAATTCCTCCGCAGTGGGTCGCATTGACAAGCGTCGTATAAGTCGCGCACCAATCGCTTCCTTTGATTCCTTCAGTTCATTATCGGTGACTTGATGTAAAATATTGCGATTTATCAGATCCTGTTTATCCGGTCGCAATTGCAACTTAAGCGATAGGGACTCCTTACGTGCGATTTTCGCCTGTCTATCGTTGTCGTCTTCGCGATATAAAATGCGCCCGTCCCCTTCATCGCTGTCACTGCTGCTTTCGCGTATCACAAATGGGCGCGTATTCTCTTTATTCTCGACGGTACATGGCAAGTTGATATTGAACATTTGTTGCCTACTGCATAAGGGCAAAGAAATAAATAAAAAGAAATTTATTAAATCAAAAATACTTTTTCCATTTTATTTAATTTACTTATACAATCTATAATACATATACATAGTGTTCATTTGTTATACTGTGCATGCTTATATATGTGCATATTTTTTTTCTTAAGTCGAAACATGCTGATTTCATGCTCAGTTCATATGAGCACAAATACTTTCTTTTTATTTAATTTATTTTAGATTTTTCTGCTGAACCACGTAACTAAAATGGCAGCAGGACAATTGAAATGCTTGACATCGTCCTTACAATTCTGAAGCAGCTGCTTTGTTTGAAGTATAAAACTTTACGTTTGAAGTGCACTCAGTGTAAGTTACACAGCACTGAAGAAGAGAAAAAACAATGTTAATAAAATAAAAAAAAATTGTCCGATTTCCTTTAAAAACTTGAAACCTGCACAGGATTTTAAATTAGCATTTTGATTTAATCGTCAAAATGTCGAATAGTGCTTTTCAGTTTGCTCTTTTCATTATTTTTATATTTAAGTGGCAGATGAGAACTCTTGAATTTGGAAAAATGACACTCTAAACTGGGCACTCGGTAGATTTTACTAGGCACGATAAGTTTTCCAACGTTTTGAATTTCTGAAATTAATACGACGCGGAAGTGCTTAAAGTAATAATGAAATATAAAAAACAAATGCAAAATGATGAAGGAATATTTGCAGTGATATATATTATAATTATTTAATTTAAAACAGATATAAATAAATTCAAAATAGATAGAGGTGAGTGTCGTCTCATGCCCGTATTTTTTTTATTCTGTTTGAGATACTTAGTAAAACATGGTATCTGACGGCAAGAACAGAAACAAATCTTTGGATGCTAAAAAAGGGTTCTAGTGTAGGTCGTATATAAATACATTTTGTATTTGAAAGTAGTTTCAAAAAGAAATTATTTGGTAGAGAGTTATTGATATTTTGCGGTTGGAACTGAAAGTTGTACTTTGTTTTTAATTAAATTCAATTAACTTGTATTCAATGAGAACAAATTCTTTCGATATCTAAATGATTAGGCAATATTCCATTATTTGTATTAAGGTAGATTTAATATGTAGGGGATTGCTTTCATTTGAACAGTATGTTATATGCAAGCCTTGTATCACACGTTTTTCCACAATATATCTACCGTCACTACATAAAATTACGCCTAAGGACGATCTTCTGAAAATCGTCCTTAAGCGAAGGAATCTGCTAGCAAAGTTATAACTGATATGGGGTTATACCTTAAATTGGAATTAAGTTTATAGATGTACTAGGTAGGTAAGTAGGTTGGAGTAGCAGCCTTGTTCCCAAAAAAAAAGACAATTTGAGCTCAAAAAGTGGCACATTGTGGTACTGTAGCATTTGTACGTATATGGATTGAAAGTATAGGTTTTCCATCAGGTAAAGGAAAACCAACCTGACAGTTCTATGAATTTACTTAAGTACTTTTCTATGAAAGTACTTAAAATTATAGCTCGGTCATGTCGGTCTCTAAGATTTTTGATTTTCTCCTAGCTAAAGAAGGGCACTGACATGAGATGGAAAACAGTCTCCTCCTTATTCTCAGAACTACAGATGTATTATTGTCCTGATAATCTAAAATTGTAATTATTGTAAATAATTACTCCATACAAATTAATTCAATTAGGTTCTATTCCTTTTCTCGAGACATAACTTTCAAGTTTTTGTATAATAAATTACACATATCGTACTCAAATCAGAAAATATTATGAATAAGGATCGAACATATCACATTTTTCAGTAGAAACGTTAGCTGGCATATATCTATTTAGAGTTGTCATTTCTCGCAATAGAAATAGTTACTCTCGTAATAGATAAAAAAAAATCCATAATAGACAAATAAAAAATAGAAAATAAAATAATGTAAATAGCAAATTAAGAAACTTGTTAACTCCACAGTTGGTTCTAAGTCTATTAGCATAAAACGTTTTGGATGCAAGTACAAACAAGCACGGATGCGTACGGTGCAAGCTTAAGGTTTCCTGAACCAAAGATATAAGAAGAAAGTTTTAACTGCGATAATAAAACTATTCAAATTCCTAATACTTATTTTTATTGCAATATTTTTTACAGTGCATTTCTATGGCTTTGTATGATTATTTTCCAATGCACGCAGCACTTGAGTTGCTGCCAATTCACATGAGCAAAAATTCTAAGCGTTCTGTTGTCTGTGTTCTGTGTCCTGTGTACGTGCATATGCAAACTTATGGTGGAGTGTATCTCAAATTTTATAGTGTCTTCCATGAATGCGTGCTTAAGATAATTTTATACTTAAAGTAAATTGCATTTTGCAGTTCATGATTGTACTACTCATGCATTAGTGTGGCAAAGACGAACTTCTCTTCTCCATAGCGGAAATGCAGTTTCCTATACTTAAAAGGAAAAATATTATATCTTATATCTGGCAATAAAATTTGTTTCACTTGGCATTGGCCATTGGAATATGAGTATTTTTATGGAATATTTATATTATTTTTTTTTTAGTGTGAAAGTGAAGTGTTATTGGTTTTTTAAAGTAAGAATTATATGAATTTAAAGCAATTTGTGTTGATTTTGTGTTGAATTTAATTGTCATTGAAATAAATTTTACTGCAAGTTAACTTTATGAGCTAATAAAATGACACCATTAAAGCAATTAAATAATTTTTCATTTTAATAATGAAAAGTAATTTAATTTTACTCATTTATTTTGAAATTTATTGCTGTCACTTCACATAGAATTCATTTTGTGCAAATATGTTTTTGAAAATATCTACGCAATTACATAAATGCAGTTACATTCAGTTGAGTTCATAAATTTCTATGATTTTCATTTAGTTTGGCAAAATTATTTCAAATATTCCTTTTTTGTGGTGAAGGATTTGTTCTGAGATGTTGTTGCATAAAAATATAATTCCAAAGCTAAACAAAAGTCAAACATTAAGGTTTAAACTTAAACCGTAATGCTTTGGATTATTTATGGAATTTGTATAGATTTTCAGATGCAAAAGAAAATTTTTGCAAGTTTAAAATCTTAAGTTTTGGTCTTTTGAGGTTTATAATTTACAAAGAAGCTCAACAGCTAATGTAATACATCAACAAGTATTTATAGTATTTATAAATGTGTGATTTTATGTGCACATAAAACAAATAAAAAAGATAGTAAGTTGCAATGCAGATTTACAAAATGATTTTCATATTCATAATTCAAAAAGTAATACTAAATGATGAAAGCTTGTTAAGTGCAGAATAAATAAATAATTTCAAAACTGTACGTTTAATATTTTAATTAAAAAAGATCCTTAAATATCATAGAAAAGTAATTTATTTAATAATAAAATAATTTTAGATTACATTCTCAATCGTTCTCAAACGAAAAAAAAAATAGAGTATAGTATTCACATAGCAGAACTTTTTTCCGCTTTAACTAAAAGAGGGCGCTAGCAATAAGTACACAGTGTATTAATTTGACATATACATATCATGCGTTTGATATTAAACTACAAACCCACATAAGTGAAGTCCGTTAAAAAGCTACAGTCCTTGTTTTATAGTGATAAAATCCTATTTTGTACTTGTAAAAGACCATTGCGGCTTACATTGCTTTCCTTTTTTGATCATAAGACAAAAGCAGTTGAAAGTCATCGTTTACGGGTAGAAAAATGACGAACACGCTCGATCAATCAGAGCACGTGAAACATGGTTTCGTTAAGTTAAAAGTAGAGATTTCGTTGTGAAAGATAATGAGTGCTCTGGTATACTAAAAAAATGGAGTTCATCTTAGATAAAACAAGTCTGTTTACACGTTATGCAGTAGACCCAATGTAATTCAAATAACTAATTTCTATGAATTTTAGATAGTCTCCCTTCCTATAATTTGGCAAGAATATGTGATTAACAATTTAAGTGTTGGTCAAAGTTTTTTTTTACAATGTCAAAATTCTATTGGAATTGGACCAGTTGATTGGAACAAATATTATTTATTGCGGTGAGGAGAGGAATGCTTACGCATTGACTATGATCCAGCGGCCCGGAAAGTGAATACCCGACTCGCATGGAGTAAACTCCATTCCCATCATTTCTTGAAACCTTGTTCTACCTCGAAACTACGTTATTATTACTTTGAGCTAGGGTGCTAGGGCCCTAGGGCCATTTAAGACATTGGAATAAATTAAGACTGCTGGAAACCAGTTTATCATTTTAGTGAACTGGATATTATTTTTCTAATTGAAAGATAATTAAAGAAGGTAGAACTCAGAAAGAATGTATGCTAGGTAGAGACAGCATATATCAGTAATATTCTCATGTTCGTCTTCAAGATTGTGCTAATGCAAAACTCTATTCTTGTTGATACATTGCAAAAGAATTAATTCTACTTAAATATTATTGGCTGATAAGAAGATTTAGTTGTTTAGTTTTTTTCTAAATGTAGATTGACATATGTCTCTACGTTGTACTTTTAGTATGTTTATTAATTTATTTTGCATTTATAGCCAGTTTCAAAGGAAATATCTATAACAGCTATACCAATAAAGAGAGTAGCAAAAAAACTACTTTCGTAAAACAGGGGAAGCTTAAGAATTCTATATAGTCATGTCACAGATAAGTGTAACCTAAATTTATCAAGTAAATAAATTGTATCTTTCCTTGATTGAAAATTATAAAATGAAGATATAACTGTACGTAAAGGTACACTTATTACTAAAAATTTAATAACCCATTTAATAATAATTTTTGGTAAAAGATTACTTTATTTTAATGTTATGCTTATGCCATATAAAAATAATTCATGAACTCCTAATAATGGTTTTAGTGGTTTTAGTTTTTAGCAGATCTCTATCTTTGTAGCCCAGAGGCACAAACCCGGATAATACACAGCCTGCCGATGATAAAGTATATTATTTTTGCTGCTTTGAATATGCAAAATTTAGTCAGGATTTTTAGTTTGTAAGCTTTTACATAGCAATGTGTTAGTTGTTCCTAGATCTAAGCATTTGTATAGGTAGTGTTCAGTTGTATACTTTTCTCTTCAATTCTCTACTTCTTTTTATTCTTCTTTTTTCCAGAACTCATATCAATAATGTAAATGTTTTTCCTTGGATTAATATATTTCGCAAATATTTTCGTAAAGAAAATCCTATAAATAACTCAACATAATTTAATTAAGATACCAAATATTTATTGAGTTTAGACATTACACATTTTAACTAATACATCAAATTTTAACTGATTAATCAATTTACTTTGTAAATATTTGATATGCTTGTATCTAAATAAAGCGCACAGGTAGATAGTCAAATGTAAATAATGATAAAAAGATGACAAGAATTTACTACTAATAAATTATAAAGTAATTGGAGATGGAGTAGAAAACATATTAGTGAATATATAAGGCTATCCATTAAGTATAATTAACTTTACTGTAGGCAAAAAGTTTGATTAAGAATTTCCATTAATCATTTTGTATACCAAAATTAGCATAATTTCATATGCCACGAAGTTTAATGAAACAAAACAAACTTTTTGCATATAAACTTTACTTGCATCATTTTAAAATTAAGAATAATTAATTGCTCGTTACAGGGAAAACTCAATAAATTTTATTACTTAAAACAGAAAATGTTAATACACAAAAATATGTCGTGTAATTGATTACATTTCAATTATATACAAATATGAAACAAAAAAAAATGATTTTAGCAACAGGCGAAAAGTATATAACTGTATGGGAATATATATCTATATATATACTTGTGTATATAACTTTATATATATATCCATATATCTAACTCGATGTATGCTTATAATGTATTGGTATTTGAATTATTGCTGATCAATCATCTTTATTGTTGAAATATTTGACAGCAAATGTAATTTGAGCGCTTCCACAGCGCCTAAAAGCACTTCATGAAAAAAATGAAAAAAAATAATGAAAATTTATTGCTTTTTCATTAAAGTTTGTTAACTTGGAAAATAAAATTGAAATCTTACAATAGAAGTGAGGGATAAAAAATATATAAATAAAAAGTTTAGAAATTTGTTGGCAGTTGAGCCAGTGTACGGCACATAAAAATAAAAGTTTTTTCTAAGTCAACAGAAGTTGTTAAATACTTGAAGAAAAGCACAACTACAACAATTGCTGTGTCTGAAAAATTATAGGCTTTTAAGAACTTTCAAAGATTTTCACAGTTGCATTAATTTATTATTGTTATTCTATGATTTTTCACAAATAAAAATACTAACTAAAAGAACTGACTGATGTGCATGCCATTTGGTTGAACCTCAAAGAACTCATTTGATCAACGCTTATTAAAAGTTTCAATCAACCAAAAAAAAAGAAGTAAAAAGTAGTAGACAAATATAAAACTTTAACTTTTTTTAACAAAAATAATTAATTTTATTTGTGGATGCAAGCTGTGTCCCGCAGTTACAGACGCGTGCCATTTCAATATAAATAGAGTAAAGTAAACAAAAATTTTGTTGCATACCTTGTGGCACTTAAAAAAATAAAAAGAAAATAAAAGTACATGGAGGAGTGAAATAAAATATTTTCACAGGTGAAACATTTCATTTTGTTTTAAAATTTTGGAACATAGTCAATTTTTCCCAAAAAGCAAACAGCAGCTGTGTTTACATTGATATAACCAAAAAACCGCAATAGAAATTTAAACAAACTTTTTGTGGTTAGTCTATAAACTTTAATTACTTTTCCTAAAGTTATTTCTAATTAATTTTTAGTTTCAATTTGTGAATATATACATTTATATATAAGTAAAGAGTATCTCTTTAAACTAGTACGTTATTGACAATTTATCGAACTGCTTATCGGTAAGCATGGAAGATTAGTTAAATTTTATAACCTCAACATGATGGATATATAGTCTTATCTATGGAGGTTACCTACAAGGAATGTGATTTTAAGACGCTTCTAGTAATAGTTAATTGCTTAAGTAAAAAAATATTTTCTTTTGCTTTTTTGGTTGTATTACATTTTTCACTTTTTTTGAGTTCAAATTTCATTGTTGAATTTAAAATTCATCTTAACATTTACGAAAATTATAAAGCAAGCAATTTTTGCTTGTACTCCTTGGCTTCATAACAATTAACTTAAATGAGTGCATTTCCCATTTATCTTTACTGCAAATGTCTGCTATAGAAGCTGTTTAGTATTGCAGAAATTCAGGCGCTTAAGTCGGATGTAAAAGTGCTTTTAAGCATTTTCTAACTGATATTATCATACTTAACTTTACAAGTTTCTATGTTTAAGGCAATTTCATTTGACTTTGTTGAATATTTTGAGTATTTCATTAGGCTGAAGTTCCCATTTTTATAAATAATTCTAGCACTTTAAATAATCGTTAAAAAAGTGATGAAATTATTTAGAATTATAGTACTTAAAATTTAGTTCAATAAAAATAAATTAACATGTATTTAAAAATCAGGCAAAAAAAATTGTTAACTCTATTTATGTATACTATATATTCAAGATCATTAATAAAATATTCTCGATATAAATTACTTTAGTCTGGCCTTGTAATATTCTAGGTCTTAATATAATATTTAAGATACAGTTCAATGAGAGATGTAGAGCTTAAATAGAGAAGATGCGGTGGATGTTGAATTCTATATTTTAAAGAATATATAAAGCATTTTTAATCGCAGTTCTGAAGGGTGCCAGCTAACATTTTTTTTTGATAATAACAAGTATTTTTATTAGCTGTATGAGAACTATCTGTGAAATCCTGTTAACTGGTCTACTTGTTCGTGCGATTTAAAACCTCTCGATTACCTTTTATGAGGTTATGTTAAGTCATTGGTTTATGCCGACAAACCATTAATTCTTGATCATATGGTCACATTTATTGCAAAAAAATAGTTAAAAATTAGACTATTAATCAAAAAAAATAAATTTCATATTCAAAAAAAAAATTTCTTAAATTATTTACCAGATTATAATAAAAAACAATTTGATTCCAACAATATTTCTTTCTTTAATTATCATTTTAAGTTCTCATGACTAATAATATTAGAGAAGACTTTGCAAAAAATATTGGGTTTAAGAAATTAGCTACAATGACTTAATTTATTAAAACTATTAATACCTCAAGGCTGAAGGTATTAATATGTTACATACAAAACCAATGAAACAATGTGCCGAAGTACATAAATTTTTGCATAAGATAGAATAATAAATTAATATTTAGACATACTAACAGAAATTATATACGTTCACATCTCAAAACCCCATAAAAATTGTGATTCATTCAAATTTAAATGTAATATATCCATATATACTTAAAATAAAAATGTGTGAAGTTCAAGACGTTTCTCGAAGGTTTTCTACAACCTAAATAATAAATAAGAGAAAGCTGAATATTAAATTAACCTTAACCAGAGGCATTAAAAGTGATTAATAATTTACTAATAAGTGAAAGGCCAATATTTTTCTTGATTCTTTTTTTTAGAAAAGCGCATACACCTAGGGGCACTTCAATATAAAACATAAAAATGGATCATAAAAAACTCAAAGATGCCAATATGGGTGCATTACATTTAAATATCGTTCATATTTGAGTATTTGCATAACTCAAAATAAAATTAAAAAGATATTCCCATATATAAAATAATTATATATTTATATATCAATTCATGCAGTTTAAAATTAGATAAAAATGTGTGAGGTGTTTTGTTTTGTTTATTCAATACAAAAAAAAAATGAAAATGTAAATTATTTTCATTAAAATTTTATTAAGATGTGTCATTCGCAGGATTGCAATATGCATATTGTGAAAATTGTGGTGGGGAAGGGGAAATAAGTGTTATTTAATTTAAGTTTTTTTAATGCATTTTTTGGTTTTTTGTTTTTACACACAAAATAAGTTTAATTAATTAAATAAATCTAAATTATTACCATATTCTAATCCGTGGTCGTAGTATTGGCCTAATTTTTGGGAAGTAAAAAATTGAGTAAAAACAAAGAAAAAGAAAGAAAAGTAGTATAAGTAAAAAAAATTATGTAAAAGAGGTTTCTTTGGTTATATTTTGCATTTAAAAATATATATAGAAATTCTACATTTATTATAACAAAAACAACAACAAAAAACAATAAAATATAAAAAAAATTGTTAAAAAGTTATATACTTTTTAATTAAAAGAAATTGCTTTAAGACTACATATGAATTACGAAAAAAATAATTAAGCCAAGTAATTCATTTTGCTCTTAATTAATATTAAAAAGTACAAGTACTTACTTTAATGAATAATTATTGGCCGCATCCTGACGCACCACTAAAGGACGTTGATTTGCTGTCATGCCACTGCCGCTAGCAGACATACCTTGTACACTGCCATTGGCATTGACATGATCTTGTGTTGGTGTGGCCGGTGATGATGTGGAAGTTTGGCCTGGTTTCTTTTTTAATGCTGACTTAAGAGGAACTGCATTTGGTTTTGGCTCTTTGGCTGGAATTTCCTCAACGCGTTGTGTATCGACATGATTGGTATGTTGCAGTTGGAACATATATTCCTCATCGGAATCTATTTCATCCTGTTCATTATCATGATCTATTTGTTTTTAAAAAAAATTAAATTTATTAAAGATTTATTCTTTTTTAAATTTAGACAACTGATGTAGAGTTGCAGTTACTAAAGAGAAAATAGCAAGCAAATATATTAGTGAACACTATAGAATGATAAAAAAAAAAAATTCCCAACTAGTATATATAATATGAATATTGATGATGTTTTCAGAATAAAATTATATAAATTAATTGTTTTTTAGTGAATTCTAAAAGTCTATTATAAACATAGACTTATTAAGCTCCTTTAGCATATTTTTACATGGGTTCTGTGTGGATTTTGTATGAAAAATTGCATATATTGCTGCATATTTATCGAGTTAAACATAGCAATAGAGTAAGCTAGGTTTTGTTATACTGGCGATCGCAAGGGATTCACGTAGGCCTATAGACCCAACGTGTTACTGTATAATTAAAAACTTAAGGTTTAGAACAATTTCGAACCTTTGTCAAAGCTTATAATAGCATTAGGGTTTAAATTAAAATATTAATACTTTTGCTAGAATTTTATAGAATCTCAATATATATAACACGTTTCTACTCTAAATAGAAAAGAAAGATATATGTTTATAGGTAGAGCAAAAAAATTTTAATATATTGTAGGTAATGATATAAAAAACGTTATAAATTGGTAAATACTTATTTAAAATAAAAATTAAGTTCTATTTTATTATTATAATATAATATAATATAAATATTATACAAAATGGTTACATGACATCAGACTTAGTGGTACTTTACTATTTAGTCTAGCATAATTCTATGATAAGTTACTTCTTGACATAATATTTTAACATTTTACATATATTCCTACTTCATTATATTACTGAAAAATTTAAGGAATTTTATAACTTAAAAACAAATTCAATAAAAAATGGAAAGACCCAACGATTTACAGGCATATGAATGCAAATTGGCTCCGTTCTACTAAGAAAAATTTCAGCATTTTTATTGAAATGCCTCGTAAAGATATCACTGTTGTGTTAGGTTGCTTCAATCAGGATCACAATTGACGAGAAAGTTTGCTAGAAGATTAAATCTAATGTTTAATCATTCCTGTTGCAGTTTTGGCGAGGATGATTAAATATATTAAGTGGGGGTTTCAATTTAAAGGACCTTGGCCAGCTTCAGAACCTTCCTCTAAAAAGCATTTTAGGCTTTGCTAAAGGTTAGAAGTGGTTTGGTCTATAGGCCTAACCGAATTCTTAGGATTGCTAGTATAATCTAACATAATTTAAACTACTTGACGGTGATTTTTTACTATTTTTTATAAACTCAATAACATTTAGCTTCTGCTAAATAAAATTGTACTATCTTTATTCCTCTAAATAAATTTAATTATATTATTAAACAATTATGAAAGCAATTAATTTTCTATTTTTTTTTGCTATTTCTACAATTTAATATTACTCTGCTTAATACCCTGAAGTATGCAATAAAATCCTAATAAATAAACTATGTACAATAAAGACTTAGTCTACAAAGCAAATAAGTCGAAAATAAAACATAAAAAAAATATTCCTAAAGAATTATGAGTGTTCTAGGGAAAAATACGCATAAATGTTAAATATGTGCATATAAATCTTCAGTGAAAAAGGTTAAACTGTACGACAGATTTATAATTGAATAAAAAAGTAGCAAAAGTGTATAAGTGAACTGAACTGGTGGTACATGAATGACGGACAGTTCATGACTCCTCTAATACCGGCAGCATTTGAAATAATCCAAATCTGTGCGTAGGGCGTAATAAAAATGCATAAATAACAGCACAGACGATATTTGTTATCGGCGTGGAAATAAAGTAAGAAAAATTGTATAACAAAAAAATGAAGAGAAAACAAAAAAGTATGAAAAAGAAAAAATATAAAAGAAAAAGAAATAAAATAAAAATAAAGAAACAAGAAAATACAAATATAAGCTGCACTCTTGATTTATGTATGCCGTTTCGTACCATCATAATCATAGTCTTGATAATCCTGATCGTTAACCGCGCCAGGCCCATGCGGCCTGCCCGCTATTAATGTGGGACTCGGTGTTGAGAACATTGGCGGCGGTGGGATAGGTCCAATTTCTGAAACAGGTATGGGTGGTTCTGGCAGCTCTGAGAGCAATACATGTGCGCTCAATTTGCCATGATGATGCCCAGCGTCAGCATATGGTGGTGGTGTGCTACCAGGTGGTCCACCAATAACATTATTTGTAGCAGCACCGCCATCAGGATCTGTAATGGAAAGGAAGAACAGAAAGTGCCGTGTAAGGATAAAAATGAGTAATGCATGATTGTGTGTATATATTTTTTTATTTATTTATTTTTTCTCTCTTTTGATTTGTGTTATTGCCAGACTAAATGTGCTAATGTTGTTGCCATATTTTGTTACAATTGTTGCTCGTTTTAAATTGCAAAAAGTGTTTGTTTGTAATGTATATATATATATAAGAGGTTGGGTGAAAAAAAAAAAAACGTTTTACAAGGGTTAAAGTATTTCAAATTTATTGCCTGAAGTTAAACAATTTATTATTGTCCTTTTTGTGAAAACTCCTAAACCTTTAGGTAATGCCTTACTCCTTGAGACATGCATTGAAGTTCTGTAGTGCTACATTTTGCACTACAATTATAATAGGATTAAACTATGAGTAATGTTGGCAATTAAGAATAATTAGGAATTATATATGAATTTTTTTATTTTTCGGAATGAAAAGCTTCACTGTTTGGATACTAAGAAAATCATTTTTAAAAGCGGTAAATTTAACAAAAATCGAAATTTTATTTAATTGCATTTTTTGGTTAAATATTGTCGAAATTTTATATACATTAAGATTTGTTGGTCTTATTACTCCAACAATAATGTATTTTTGGACCGCAAGTGCCAGATTTAGAAATTCGAATTTGTCAAACTTGACACAACCACTTGCGTGATAACCTTACAATTTCTTGCTTATTAGAGTGAACGCATAAACCACAGCTATATATCAATGCAAATAGCTATTATATTTGTTGTTCTCCGAATTCAGTACGACTATTGTAGAAACATTATTTTTAATGTTTTTTTACTTGCTGTGTATAAATAATTTTTTCTTTAATCTAGTACACACAGCTATGCAAATGTTAGATAAGTCTAGTGCTCTCTCAGGTTTGACTTTAATAATTTTAATTAATGGCGGGCTTAGTCAATAAAAACAAGACTTAATTAGAAACATAAAATCGTAAATAAGCAGTGACTTATATTCAATTTTTATAATTTAATAATTTAATTTCAATATTAAATTTCTTTTCTCCTAATTTTTTTAAAGATGTTGATAATTAAGATATATCAAGCATTTATATATTTCCTATAGTGACTACTTGTAGTTATCAAAACCGACTACGTTGAAGAACTGATAAAATGTTTGACTCTTTATAAATTCCGTTTTGTTTATTTTGCTTTAAAAAAGGACAATTCTTTACGGTGAAGTGCAATAATGTTTAACTTATGATTTAATTATATTGATAACATTTATAAACATATTACAATTTATTTATGTATTAACGTGTGTGCTTCTATAAATTCAACTCACTACTGATCATGATTAAATCGAGCATACTTATTTTGACTAGCGTTTATAAACAATTTAGTCTTAGCAGTAATAATTTATTTATTTTATTCTCTTAAAGTATAAAGTAACAAACAAACGTTTATTTAAAAGTTAATGAATAATAGAAGATGTCAGCTTGAGCTGAAGGTTTTAAATAGACTTTTAAATAAAAAATTTTATTTGACTATTTAGATGTTTTAAAAACACTAGTTGGAGACACAGCTGTCTTCTGTCTCATTATAATCAGGATGGTTTGTGCAATGGAAGAAATACCATAATGAGCATTTAATTAAAGGGAAAGTTATTAAAGGTTATATCCTTAAAAGAATAGATTGTGTTCACACTTTTTTGAAGCTTAGACCCAACTGTGTAAATTTCGAACCATTCATTTGGTTAAACATTGTCCTCAGTTTAGTCTCTTCTTAAAGGAATGTGAAAGGATGTATAGTCAGACTACAGTTAGTATTTAAAAGTTTTACGATTGCTATAAAACAGTGTTCGGTTGGATGGAAGGTAGAATTACAATTCATAGTTTATTTTAAAAAAAATATAAATGCTAAAATAATTATTGATGAAAACAATAGTTGAAACCTTGGTAGTCTGATCTTTAAACATAAAAAGAATAAAGAATTCTATTAAAAATATTAACGAACTATGATCCATATATATATCATCCGTAAGGGTCATGTTATGCAGAGTGTCTTGGGCACGTCATGAGTAAAATTGTTGTTGTTTTCAATGCAAATAATAAATTTCAGAATGAGAGAAAAAGCAATATGGCCGACGTATTTGTGCCCTGGCACTAAGGCAAAACAGTTTTGTTTAGTAATAAATTACAAAATTTGCGCCTTTTAGGAGCAAATTACTATAATTCTAATACGCTTTGGAGAAAAAATGGCAGTAAGCAATACAACCTTTTTTTATAAATTGTTAATAATATAATTATTACAGTTTCCAGTTTTAAAGAAAGGCGTAAATATTATTAAATACTGTTAATAATTATTGTAAGATAATGTAATAATAAATTAACATTATTACAGCCTCTACGAGTTTTCTCTTGCTAGTTACTTTTGATGGCAAATTGAAAGTGATATCTGAATTTCCTTTTAAATTTAGGCATTACCAAGAAGTAGTAAAAATACAATATTGGCAATACTGATATGACACTCTGCATAACATGCACTTCCGGCATAGTCCGAAAGAGCGAATTTTGCCGTGCCCGATACACTCTGCATAACATGGCCCTAATAGAAGGAAATAACTAAGTAGCGTTTTTAAAAGAGAAGTAGACAGGTAAAAAAATAAAGTTGCAGCTCATAAAAAAGAGTAGACTTTAACTAAAATCAAAATATCAAGTTTATATGAATTGTCATTATAAATACCGTTCGGATATATTTAATTAAGTTAATTATATTAATTATTATTTATTTATTTCTTTCTGGTAAATTAAGTTACCTGCGCAAATTTCCATTCTTTTCTTTTTTATGTTAATTTTTAAGACAAACCTCTTTCCCTTTCCATTTGCGTTTCTCTCTTCCATTTTCTTTTGCAAGGCAAAAAACTCAAACACATACAGAGGATTATCTCCAAAAAATTCAATATAATAATCTGGTGATGTTACAGAATCAGACACTAAAAATAATCAGATCTTGAGGCAAACATCAAGTACGTAAGCTTTAAAAATTTGGATCACTTTACGCAACCAAACTAAATTTTGTTTGTTATTTTTTACATTAAGTTTTAAGATATTATTGTATATTTGATAAATTGATAAATAAATACTGATTTGCTATGTTTTTACTTACAATGTTCGTTATGATAACAAATATTAACACGACGTGAAAGCTTATTCGTTCCAAGCGTATTTGGACGTTCCATTTTGGAATTTTGCGAATGTGAATCATGTTGATCGCGTCCATTGCCACCGCCGTGTGTAGCATGAGCGTGATTTGCTTGCGTGATGCCACCGCCAGGTGGCGGTAACATTGAGCCTTGACATGATGGTTGTTCGGTATTGGGTGATAGTGTGCCATTACCACCGTGTGGTGCATCAGTCTTGTCTTTTCTGGGTTCTGTAAAGAAAAAACAAATTTCGTATGTTTTTATTTTTTACAATAATTAATGAAATTAATTCATTTGAATAAAGACTTTTAGATTTCAGTTTCTGTGAAAAATTCATTTGCCAAAAATTGTTGTCATTTCAAGTGGCGACAACATCAAACGAAATAACATTTTCAAAATATTTTGAGTAAAAAAGTGAAAGCTTTGTGATAAATTGCAAAATATATTTTTGTACATTTTTATCTAAAATTTTTCAGAAGCATCTTTGCCTTATGCCAGCAACAGCGTTTTAAAGTGTATAGAAATGGAAAAAGGTATCTGCGAAAAAAAAAAAATGAAATAAATAAATTTTAAAAGTGAAGCCTCTTCCATCATAAATGACAATTCATTTCGTGAATTTGGGAAGGTCAGTGGTTTTATTTCTTTGACTGCATACCATGGAGCTTCAATATTTCGCTTGTACATCCATCCCAGCACATATACGTCCATGCAAGCATGAATTTATGCGTGCCTGACTTCATTTGCTTTGCGCTGCTGCATATATGAAAGTCAAAAAAAAAAACAAAAAATAAAATAAAAAATGTGAGCTCCATGTAATGGGAGAGGATATACGAACTGAATTTTTTTAATTTAAATATTTTTTAATTGCTTTTTTAATACTCAAAATGGTCACCAAAGCCAGTTTCATGGTTCCCAATGAAGATTTTAACGTAGAGACGCTTTATCTATTATGAGTATTTAAGCCCTGCTGTGTATATGTTACGTCACCCATATTATCACGTTTGTTATTAACTTTTTCGGGGAAGCTTAATGGCTTTCCGCAGAATGACTGCCTTTCATTTTAAGCCTTTTTTGCTATCTCCCTTGTGTGTTTTTATATAACAGTTTGTAGGTACTTGTGTTCCTAGAAGTATAGACCATAGATCTGTGTCCCTTGTTGCTGTTTAAAAATTTAAACTTTTTTAACTCATTTTTAAATGTGTTAATAGGGTTCATGTGAGCTCTTGGGTATAATTAATCACCACAACCACAGAGGAAAAAAAAGAGCAACCATAAATCGTTTAGTTGTGATAATATTAAATTTGTTTTGAAATTACTCTGAAGTAAAATTTAATATAGATTCTGCTCCAAATAAAATAAAGAAAACCTTTTACAGTATATACTAAATAAAGAAGATTAGAATAAATTAAAATTTTTGAAATTTAACAAAAAAAAATATTGTTTACAAAGATAAAAAGGAAAAGAAAACGATGAAAGATAGTCACGAACCCTGAAAATGCTTTTATACATACTTAAAAAGAATTAAAAAACAAAAATATTTATCGAAAATATCACAAAGTTTTTAATTTATTTTATATTAAAAAACTGTTAAAGCCACACAATTTATTATTCTGTAACTCGTGATACTTAAACTTTTTGGATAGATCTTGAAATTTGTGTTTCAAAAAGGCTGAGTGATGAGAGGAGATATCTAATTCAATTTTGGACCATATGATAAAACATAATCACACAACATTTTTCTTAAATTAAAACTTACAAGGTGGGAGGGATTAAGTCCTGACGTTTTTCAAATAGTGTCTGTTTTATGTATTGGTTGTGTTGCTAGCAAAGTATCTCTAAAACAACTAGCAAGTAGCTATGGTGCTTACTCTAGATTTGACCAGGTAATAAGCAAGATATAGATTAGTGTGATTGGCAGGTTTTTGTATTGTAAAATGTTGGATCAGAGAGTTTGTGTAAAATTTATAGAAAGAAAGCCGGTATGACATTCCTGATAAACATCAGGATAAAAAGCTGATGAAGATGTTCGGGATGATAGTACCAATGCTTTCAGGAAAGTCAGAAATACATTGAAGACGTCGACAGATTTTAACATTCTAACGCATTCATCAAAAACTTATTCCTGTCTCTACTTTGTGAAGGTAGAAGAAATTATATGTTATATTTTTAAATGAAATAGTACTGATTTCATATTCGAGACATCATGACAACAACACCTTTAAATATTTTTACTAGACTGAAAGCAGCTTATTTGATTATTATAGGAAAAAAATTTTTAATCCTGTCTTTTATTAAATATTATTAGAATAGATTAGGTGTTAATACAATTATTTTCACTTCCACTTAAAGGCATCTATTTTATAATATGATACTTTAAACTTGTTAGGGAGAAGCGACATAGGTTAACCATTATGTCCGTATCAAATCGGTGTGTTGTCTTTGATAAACCCTTTGCTTTTACAGATAAATTAAAAAAATGCGAAAAGTTTATATTCATTTTCTTTGTAAGGTTAGTGAAGAAAACATTTGTTAGACTTTACCTACTCTAAGCTCATATTTGTCATCTCTGTTAAGCTAGTTAAGAAAAGTTCTAGTTGATACTAAAATCATTCAGCTTATTGTTTTGGACACCCACATAGAAAAAAATTGAGAGATTTCACTTCCTCTCTATTCTCTTCATTTGCTTCCCGGACTACGCCACGTTGTAATAGCTAACAAAGTATCCCGAAATCATTGAAACAAATTCCCCAATAATCTTGGACAATTCTAGACAGTCACTTCCTTTCACTTCCTTTTTAACAGTTTCTGCATAGTTTGCTATAAGGAATTCGCCACCGGTAAAGTTTTACCAGACAGCCTTAATATTACTCCAGTGAAGACTCAAATTGGTTAACGGACACCCACAAAATTTTTTGCTCTTTTTCTTCCGCATTTAAGCCATACATGAGACCTATAGTTTTCGCATTTAGTTTATAAGATAACGTTGCCACAATACTGAATTCATTTATGCTCCTTAACAGTTCGTGCATCAATACAGTTTGCATTGAAATATTGATCTTATTTAGTTCGATTTAAGAGCTGCTTACGGCCTTCTATAAAAAGTAACTATGGACTTTGTTTATGTTTTTATAAATATATCACTGATATCTTTAATAATTTACTTTTAATTTCCATTTTCGGTTTTATATATTTTTTTATGATGTACAAAATATTATCGCGAAGGGAAAAATAAAAAATGTTTTTATACATTCTCTAATAAAACATTCAAAGTTGACAAACGAAACAGTTAGAGCTATTAGTGTTTTTATAGAGTTATAAATTTCATTCACTCATTTGATATAATAAATGATATAATGTTATAATACGATAAAAACAATTATTGCTACTTAAAATATCTTTATAAAATGTTTTTCATTTGTTGATAATATATTTAATCACATCAAATTACATTCCCCAAGCAAAACTACAAGTCAAAGGGATAATCTCTTACATTAAAAGGTTTTAAATTTTGTGAATGGAGATAATCCAAAGGGAACTATAAATTTGCTGTGAAAAGGGATAAAATGCGCCATTAGCATATAACTTAAATAAAATATTATAGACTAAAATTTGGTATCTATAGTATAATCTTATTAAACTTTAATATTATGAATATAAAGTTTAATTTTATACAGAAAGTTACTTAATTTTCTACTCATATAGTTACTCATATAGTTAGGATTAGTGATGTGGTAAATAAGATGTCAAATTTCAATAAGTTTCTTAATAATTACGTACACACACGGATATCTTAACGCGAGTATATATCTTTATATAAGAAAAACCCAGTACAGTACTTTATTTTAACATTTTGTTTTATGAGAACCCTTAGTTCTACTTGAAATAAAGCATTTTTCCTTTGCTTTCGCCTTCAGAGGTGCGCTTCAAGTATCATAACCTAAAAGTATGCAGCAAATTTATTTACATTATGCTGTGAGCATGTTTATTTACAATTTGTTGAATTTTTAAGAAGTCCTAAAATAATACAGCGTATGAGTTTGTTGGTAGTTTCGTAGAGGCTGAAGGATATTGAGAGACATATTAGTTGAAGTATGTTTTTACAGAGGAGTGACCTTTTTAAATGCATAAAAATTTGTGGTTGTTGGAAGCAAGTTACTGTAAATTTACGGTTGACATACCTATAAGTTAAAGAACTGAATTTACTGTCGTATAAGTTTTCTTAATGCTAAACCAATTGGAAGATGAAAATTTTTTAATAAAAATGTAAATTTATTTCTGTAGCATTATTTTTTTATCAACTTACGAATGAACAAAATTACTAAAATAATAATTTCATACATCGAGGAGGACATGGTAAATTCAGTTTGCATATTATATTTTTGATATTTTTTAGTAAATAAATAAAAGAGAGTAATTTAATATAGAAATACATTATAAGAAGGTCAAAATTTGTTACTTAAATGTAAGAAAATTTACTAATTTATATGCATAACAATTTATGCGGTAAGAAATTTTAGACAAATAAAAAATATGTGCGTATGTGTAGTAATTTGAGGGACTATATAAAACTGAGGTATAAAATAATGTAGAAAATATTTTAATCAGAATATTTATGAATATAATTATCATTTAAGGGTGAATTACTTTCATTTATTTATGGAAATGTATTAAAGGAAATTCTTTTTGTTGTACCATGTTAAAGCCAATCTATATTACTATAACATATAACATACAGAATTGCTGTTAAACTTTAACACATTGTAGTCCAACATAATTTTTCAATAATAATAGAACTAGTCGTTAAGTTCTTAATTATTGGATTGTTTTTCAAAAATAATTAACTTATATAAAGAACAAAGATCAATTAATAATATAATATGTTGCCAATTTTATAGAGCTTTAATTAAACCGATCTATCTTTATTGAATAAAAATTCGAGCAAGAAGTTTTAAAAAAGTTTTAGTGAAACTGAAACTATAAATGTGAATGTACAACTTCAGATGATTTAGTAGGTGTGACAACACATCCGATCCACTCTTAAGTAACACCTTTGGAGCAGGTGATGAAATTTATAAGCGGTTGTCACAGTTGAACATAATTCTTTTATAAATATGTAGTATTTTAAACTGTCCTATTGTTTGCAATATATACAACAATTAATTGCTGTGTTCCTTGGCAGCAGTCTAAAAAATCCTATTCTCTAAGAAAATAATCTTACTCTAATGAATAT